AAAAGCAAGCGTTTAGAAGAACCTATCAATTTACTTTTATTTAACAAGGGCGAGAAGAACCATTATTGTTGGATTAAAAATTTTTCTCGGCTGACGGGCGATATCAATCATCACAACGGCCAAAAATACTGGTGTTTTAAATGCATGGCACATTTTCAAACGGAAGAAAAGTTAGCCAGTCACAAAGAAGATTGCCAAGGCTTAAACGTTCCTACGTGTAAAGTCGAAATGCCGGCCGAAGGCGAGAATATACACAAGTTCAAAAATTACAAAAATAAACAAGACGCGCCTTTTGTCATTTACGCCGATTTTGAGTCGGTTTTAGAAAAATTACCGCAGACTGATACAAACACTCTCAAAACACAGATTCACAAGCCTTGCGGGTACTCGTACGCTGTCGTCAGATGTGATGGAGTTTGCACTAGCCAAAAGACTTATAGAGGCCAAGACGCAGCCGTTGATTTTGTAGAATCACTTTCTCAGGAAGAAGAAAAAATAAACGAAACGTTTAAAAACAAAGCGAAGTTGATTTGGAACGATCAATTACAAAAAATCTATGAAAAATGTAATACCTGTTGGATCTGCGAAAAGTTCGTAGATCAGGCGAGAGAATCTCACTGTCAATGTGATATTCCAAAACTACCAAAGACAATAAAAGAAAAAATCAAGTTTTGTCGTAAAGTTAAAGTAAAAGTTGGGGGCAAAGAAAAAGAGTTTGAAGAACGGAAATGTTTGGATTGCAAAAAGCCAATAAACAAATTTAGAAAGGTTATAGATCATTGTCTCGTGACGGGGAAGTACCGAGGCCCAGCGCACGCCAGTTGTAATTTTCAACTCAAGATTACTCCTTATCAAACACCCATTCCGGTGATCTTACACAACTTGGAGAAATACGACGCACACTTGATTATGCAAGGCGCTCACGAATTTTATGGGAAATCAATTAAGTTGATAGATAAAAATACTGAAAATTACATTTCGTTTTCTTTTGGCCAACTCAGATTTTTAGACTCCTTTCATTTCATGGCGGCTTCGCTAGATCGGTTAGTTAAAAATTGTTCGCCCGATGATTTTAACTTACTTTGCGAAAGGTTTCCAAATAATAGTCATTTACTCTTGGAAAAGGGAATTTACCCCTATGAATATATAGACTCCTTTGATCGGTTCCAAGAGAGACGGCTCCCACCAGTAGACGCTTTCTATAGCTCTCTGAAGCAGGGAGGGATAACCGAGCAAGAATATGCTCGCGCGGAGACAGTATGGGAAAAATTTCATTGCCAAAACCTAGGCGACTACCACGACCTATACGTGGAAACGGATGCGCTTATTGCTAGTGGGTGTATTTGAAAACTTCCGGAAGGTATGCAAGAAGAACTACGGCCTTGACCCGGCCAACTATTATACGGCGCCGGGCCTGTCGTGGGACGCCCTCTTAAAATACTCTGGCATCCAATTGGAACTACTGACAGACATTGACGAGCATTTATTCTTTGAAAGGGCAAAAAGAGGTGGTATCTCGAGTGTGGGTGCAAAGCGATATGCAAAGGCCAATAATCCAGAACTACCCGATTACGACCCCAATAAGCCAAAGTCACAGATCATGTACCTA